TTTATTTTACATTTCGACTACATAAATAAGCCACAATCAATAAAGATTAATGTTTCCACGGGTGAAATGCTTCTTTAAATAAACTCGCCCTCGCTAATACAAAGCTAACAGCTGTGTCTGTGACTGTTGGTTTTAACAAACATATCACTATTTTAATCTCAATTCAGGGTTTTCATTTATACTCCTCATATAAACTGCTCAGAAAATATCAAATAACAATACTTCATGTACTTAAATTAATCCATAAATAAAGCATGGTTTAAGGAAGACGTTTTAACAGTGGAAAGTGCAGAATTGCACTGGGCCATTTACAAACTGAAGTTTTTGTGTAAATGGGAGGAGGCTCAGATTAATTTAAATCTAATGCTTATTATTACATTCTTTTAAAAGGTTGTGCATGCTGTAGGAGGAGGTCCAATTGAAGTGCCATTTGAAGTGTCGATGCTAATAACAAAAATCTAAAATGTTCTCTTGACCACTGCGTACACTTTTTTAGATGGCCCCTAACCTCATCCTGTCCACTGTCAGGTTTCACACAATGCCAGGCTTTAATATCAGATCATCAGGTAAAGGGAACAAGAACAGTCAGGCTTTATCCTGCATTGCCCAATATAAATCTGGTGAAGACTGATGACAGATGAATCTCGCTGAATGTGTAAATATTGAACTTTATTTGTTTATAATTCAGCACATCTGCATTCTGTTGCTTTGGCTGCTAGCAGTTTCTGTTGTCACTGTACAGACAACAATCAGAGGTTTACTCTGGTAGAAAAATTATGAATCTGATGAAGTAATTGACAATGCTTAATTTCTATGTCCTGAATAGACATCGGATATCCTTCCACCACTGTAAAGAGTGATTTTAGATCATTGTGGCAGGGTGTAAAAAAGTGGAGTTATATTTGGGGCAAATTGTAACAAATACTACTGCAGAAATTTGGATAATGTTTCTATCTTTTTCCCCTTTAGATAGCACCATGGCGAATGCAAGAAGCTAAATAAAGAGAGATTTAGCTTCTTGAGTCACTTGAAAAAACAATTTGGTATTTAGAATCTGGCACACCGTTGGCCAGACATCTAGATTGACACAAATAAAAATTCGTACTGATGGGATGATTCTTACCTGAGGGGTTGAGGAGCCGCCAGGTGATTGCAGGGTCCGGCCTGCCATTGGCCAAACAACTGAGTGTCACGTTACTGCCCTCATTCACTGTGATGTCTTCTGACACCTTGTAGATGTTTGCTGGAACTAGAGGCACAGGAGAAACAACATCAAGGTTAATTCTATTGCTATTATTCACGAGTATGAAAAGAAAAGCATGTTTTATCTTACATGGATCAAGAAAAGCAAGTGGTTTTTTCATCTTTTTGTAAAATACATTTTCACTCAAAATAACTTTCCATTAAAAACTCTACTTGTCTCCCATAACATCCTTTGCCATCTCTTCGTAGAAAATTGACAATAAAAAGAGGTTAAATGCAAACACTAGCTGACCTTGATTCTCTCAGTGAAAGAAAGAGTTGAGGAAAGCTTTGAAAAACCTTTTTCCTACTGTGGTAGCCCTCAGAGGTACTTACAGTAAACTTTTTCAACCCAGGATCCAAATAAGCAATTTAATCTCCTGCCTCGGGACCTGAGCTCATGAAAACAGATTGCTTCTCTTGTCATAGGGGGACCCACCAGACGCTTGGCACTGATTCTTCTGAGTTTCTTTCAGAAAAATAGGTTTTAGTATACGGACCAAAATTTAAAGGTGAAACGAAGAATCTTTAGTGTGTTCGTTTGTACACTGATGGTCAAGGTAACACGGGGCTACTTCATCTCGATGCAGCGTTTAATGATGATCCCGCCTCACTATCTATTCCTCACTCCTACTGCTCTCCCTCCCACACAAACAAACAGAAACCTAGAGAGAGGCAGAGTGAGATGGAACTATACTCTAGCAAAAAACAGCTCAGATGAATTAAGAAGGTATGGCCTGTTTGTGAGTCAGCAGCAAAGATGCAATCAATCATAAAGGATGTAGGGGGCATACATCACTGTTTTCACAAACTGTGGGTAAAGTAGTTGGGATAAGGTATCATATATACAGATATGAGGCCAGAAATACAAATAATGATCAATGACTTTGGAATATGATGAATGCTGGCGCATGCATAATGTGGGCAAATGAAGAAGAGTAACTTTTTTTTCCCTCTGAACTTGTGATAAGTGGATTTTCTTTTCCAATTTTAGGGATGCGTGGATGTGTGTCAGGGCTCAGCACACCTTAGGCCAGGGGTAAGCAGCGCTTTAGTTGATTTACTGGTATGCTTCATATGCGGCAAGAAATTAGCATTATAAGGCTCAAATACACTGAACAAAATTATAAACGCAACACTTTTGTTTTTGCCCCCATTCATCATGAGCTGAACTCAAAGATCTAAGACTTTCTCTATGTACACAAAAGGCCTATTTCTCTCAAATAGGGGCAAGGATGGTGGTTGACAGGCCGAGAGTAGCTGACTGGGTTTCCGGAGAGGGCCCCCCCCGAATAAGCGAGTAGAAACTGCCAGTTTTCGAGTGGCCTGGGTCGTGATGGTGGTCAGGCCTAAGGGCGACACGGCTGGTGCGGAAGTTGCCCAGTGCTGTCTGATCAGCAGTCTTGAGGTATGCCAGTACCTGTTGAGGTGGGAATGGATGTATCTCGGCAAAAGGAGAAGTGGCATCACTAACACAGAATGTCTTGACAGATTTGGTGAAGACAA